TATTTGTTTATAATTTTAAAAAATTATCAAATAAAATTACCAAAAATGTTTAATTCAAAATAACTTAAAATTTAATTATTTGCAAAAAGTAAAATTTTTTTAAATGATTTTCATTATATTTTTCGAAAATTTAGATATCTAAAAGCATTTTTCAATTTAAAATTTTTTGAATTAAATTTTTTTATTTGATTCTTAATAAATTCTTCATCAACATAAATCATTAAATTTTTCTTTTATTATAATTATTGTCTGAAGTTTAACAGAATTTTTTGAAATTCAAATATTTTTAACAATCGCATTTTAAAAACTTGAAAAATTTAATTATATTTATAAAAATTTTTTTTCTTTTTTTTAAATCTAACAATTTTAATTGTAACTGTCCTGAAATTCAATTTTTTTAATTATTTTTATAATATGTGACGCTCCACGAGAAAATGAACCAAACGTGCTTTTGACTTAAGGTTCATTCACTGTGTCATTTCACGGTAAAAGCGAACCTTAAGTCAAAAGCACGTTAGGTCCCTTTTCTCGTGGAGCGTCACATATTCTTTGAAAATTCAATTATCTGAAATTATTTTTGACTTAAAAAATTTTTAAATTTTTGTATTTTTTTCTGCAATTTCTAATAAATTTTTTAGTAATAGAAATCATCAAAAATTTAAAATTAAAACTCACTTGAAGTTTAATTAATTTTAAAAAACAAAATTACAAATGTTTTAAAATTCAATTATTTCAATAGGGTGGCATCAATTCAAGGAAAAATTAAAAATCAGGAAAAAGTTAGGGAATTTTGTTAGTAAGGTAAAAGTCAGGGAGAATTCAGAGAATGTTGATTAAAAAGAAACCACAAAAAATAAAAAAAATTTGATACATAAATGTCAATTCATTTTTTTTTATTTAGACGTTTTTGTAATATAGCTTACAATAACGGTGCCGTCAAAGTTTTCATTTTTCAAAGTATTTAATATTTTTATAATAAAAATTTAAAATATAATAAAATTTTGTTATTAAACAATTTTTAATTATCTTATCTTTTCCTTTATAAATAACATTTTTACTTAAAAAGCATTATACAAATTTCAATCAGCAATGCAGAATAATAAATAATTCAAAATTTTTTTAGTAAGGGAAAGTAAAAAATTTGTCAGGGAATTTTGAAAATAAAATTTTGCGGCCACCCTGTTCAAATAAATTGCTTAAGTCAGACTTGAAAAATTATAAAAATGTAATTTTACAATTTTTTTAAAAAATTTGTCATACTTAATTAAAAGTTTTAAAGTTTGTTTTACAATTAGTTCGATTCTGAAATATTGTAAATAATTTTTCTTGACAATATTTTTATACAATTATTCTCTTAATACAGATTTAAGAAAATGAATTTAATATCTAATGACATTAGTTATTTAAAGTAAAATAATGATTAATCAATTTATTTTTTTTTAAACAAAAAATCGACTAAAACCAATTTTTTGTATTATAAACTGGATCAGAGACCTGAATTGTATGCAAAATTTCAAAAACATATAAATTAAATTATTTTTAAAAATTATTATTTTAGAAATTTTATTATAATTTTACAGAATTTTTTTAGGTTAGGAATGATGTTTTAAACAAATAATTGTTTTTTTTATATATTACAAATTAAACCGTTTTTCAATTAACTTGAAAACCAAGTAAAATTATAATATTGTTAATTTTTGAGGTTATGTAAAAAATAATAATTTTACTCTTTGTAAAATTATAATTTACTTATTTTCATTTTCTTGAAATAAAAGTAAATAATTTGTGTAAATGCAAAATTTGTTTTATTGATTTGGAAATCAATTTTAGTATAATAATCTTTGAATTCATTCCGTCCGGACCCCTGCTGGGTTTTCGGTGACAGAGAAAAGAACAAGTTATGGAGAGAGAAAGATATATCTTTATTTTGCAAATGAGGGTTCACTTGACCTGCAATCTTTTAAAGAGGATTAATTAATAACTCTGAGGACCCAGGTAATAATTTCTTTCTGTCTTTATCACGTGAAAAAACTATAAAGAAAGTCTAAAACTAAATAGGTAACGCATACCTTTCTTTCTTACACCAAGGAATATAACATAAGTACTTCTTCGTTTAACATTGCGTTTCTCTATCTAGACAATTCAAAATGGCATAAGAATATCTTCGTCTAAAATCTTAATCTTTTTCCTTTTTGTTTTGAAAATAAAAATAAATATATATATATATATATATATATATATATGTGCATACCTGTATTAGAGTCCCTGAAAATTTTAATAAAAAAATTTAAAAATTATTACCTAAGTTCTCAGAGTTAATCCTTATCAACAAAGGTTCTATTATCTAAGGGTATTTTTCCATGTAATAAATGGGAGAAAAGAAATTATTACTTGGGTCCTCAGAGTTAATTCTCATTGATTATTTAACAAAGGTTCTATTGTCCAAGGGTTGCTTTTTTGTGGTAATTAATCCGGGGTTTTAATACAAGTGTATATATATGTATATATGGTATCTGTAATGAACTACTGATTAATCATATAAGAGTGTCCTTTTGCACTTATTGGCTGATCAGTAGTTACTCATTCATAGTTCTCTCATTCTATTGGATATTGGTAGTTGTATTGGATAAAAGGCAAAATTTGTTATATTGAATTAAAGGCAAAATTGGTTATATTTAATAAATGGCAAAATTTGTTATATTGGAGAGAGTGAGCGAGAGGATTAAAGATATTTAGATTTTCATGAATCAAAAATAAAATTAAACGAAGTATACTATGGCCAACATAAAAGAGTATGTTATTTTGAGTGATGAAGATTTAAAAATTGTTAAAAATAGAAATAAATTGTTAAATGACATGCATATGTACAAATTTGAAGATTTATTAAGAAAAGATTCCAATTCTTTTTTCAATATGCAAAGTACTTATACTTTTATAGCCTTAATGAGGGGTGTTTAAATGTGCATCAAATGAAATATTTAATTAGATTGTTCCCTTTTAAACCAACAGTAGTTTTTGTAGTTGTTGATCAACAACCTTTTGGTAGTGTTGAGTGTGGAGTATATGCAATAGCATTTGCAACATCTATATTTTTTAACGTAATGTCAAACAGCGTCAATTATGAAACTGATAATAACAGAATGAGAAACCATTTAAAGTCAATGTTTGAAAATAATCGCTTAAATCATTTTCCGTCAATAAGAACGTCTCACAATAGGAATTCGATAATAGAGAATGATTGGAACCGTCTTTTCATAAATCGAGCTCAGGAACTTAAAAATAATATTTTGAACCCTTGTTCTGTTTTAATACTTTTCCCAGCAATAATATTAACAGAGTTCTATTAACACAATATTTAGAAATTAAACATTCTCTAAATGACACTAGTGAAGAGAAAATAATTCGTACAACTAATAATAATATGAACAAAATTTCACCACTTGAATATTCAGAAATGAAGTATTTTCTGAGTGAAGAAATTGATAAAAAGATAATTCCAGGAATTAAAGAAAAGGGAAGGCAACGCGCGAAGTTACATATGAACAGAAAATAATTAGACAAGAGAATGGTAGATTGAGAAAACGTAATCGTAATGAAACAGAAACAGAAATACAAAAGAAAGAGCGCAAAAAAAATTTGACATGCAAAAAAAGAAATTATCTATAGAAACTAAAGATGAAAAGAAAATACACAAGGATAAAAATTTGGCATGTAGGAAAAGAAAAATATCAATGGAAACTCAAGATGAAAAGAAAGTGCGTCAAGAAAATAATTTGTCATATAAGAAGAACAAATTTTCTACGGAAACGGAAGATGAAAAGAAAGTGCGTCAAGAAAAGAAATTGGCATGTGAAAACGATAACCGAAATAAAAAAGTGTAGGAGATGCAATAATGTCTTAAAGTTTTCAATGAAAGTAAGGTTCCACAGAATTATTTAGGTTTGATGAATGTAGAATGTAAGTTTTGTTATGCGTTACATTTTCTGTGTGAGAGACCGTCACATAGATTATTTAGTAGTTGCTGTCATAAGGGAAAAGTAAAGTTAAGCGCCCAAGTAGCACGGAATATTGGTTGAATGTAACATTGATATCAAGTGGGAATATTCCTGTGACATTCAGGCGATATCATAATGTCTTCACGGGGACATTCCTCGGTGATATTCACGTGTGATTCGTATGATATTGAGGGAATATTACCGTGAAATTTGTGTGATATTGAGTGAATTATTCCTCTGATATTGAGGGAATATTCCAGTGATATTAATAAGATAATTTATAAAATTCTAACAAAATTTCAATTTTTTTTCATTGATTTATTTGTTTAATTAAATATTCAAAATAAACAACATTTTAGAATTTTCTAAATTACAGGAATATTGTCTCAATATCACAGGGATATTCCCTTAATATCCCAGGAATATTTTCTTAATATTGCGTGAATTTCACGGGAATATTCCCTCAGTACCATACAAATATCACGCGAATTTCACAAGAATATCACCGTAGAATGTCCCCATGAAGCGGACATTATGATATCGCCTGAATGTCACAAAAATATTCCCGCTTGATATCACCTTGACATTCAAGCAATATTCCGTGCTCCTTGGGTGGTAGATTTAATATGAAGAAATTTTTTTTAAATTTCTAATATTAAATTTTTTGAAAAAAAAGAAGTGAATAAAGATATGGTTAATGCTCACGAGCAACGTAGTCGGCCGCTTGCGGACGACAAAGTTGCTAGTTTTAGTATAATATGTATTTTTAATATTGTACGGGTTGTATTTGAATGCTGGATTTTCAATTTTAACCTCTTTCTTTATAAAATACTTAATAAAAATTTAGCTCATCGAATATACAATCATACATTTTTTCCAAAATTCAAAAAAATTTACACTTATAAGAATCATATTCAAATTTGTTTAATATTTTTCCTTTTTATTATAGATGCCGAAAGAATATAAATATTCATCGTCTTCCGATGATGAATCAGTGGAATTATTAAAAAAAAAATAAAAAAATATAAATCAATGCTTAAAGCAGAAAGATTAAATGGGAGTTCTTCAAAAACTCGTAAGTATATATCCTATAAAAGAAATCTCTAAACGATAAACTCTCGATCTATAGTAACGCCTGTCCCATTGGTCGATTGTCGCCGTGGCGTCTATTCCATTGGTCGAATTCTTATTTGTCATCTTCGTCTCGCAATAGCGTAAAACAGATACGATCTGTCCGCGTACAGATTTAATTTAATTTAATTTTTAGAATTTCCATTTGTTAGAATAATTTATTTCGATAGATTTTAGATAGATTAGATAGAATTTTCTTTTAAACGACTTTTTATTTGATCGAATTATTATTTCACAGAATTTCTATTCATCCGATTTTCTATATTACAGAATTCTTATATAACCGAACATTCAACTGACAAAACTTCCCTAATAACACAAGATATCTTGGGATATATTGATAATATCCCGCAGATATCCTTGGGATGTCCTATGGATCTCTATAGACTTTCATAAATGTCCTCCAGATATCCCATAGATATCGTCAGGATATCCCACAGATATCATCAGGATATCCCATAGATATGGTCAGGATATCCCACAGATATTTTCAGGATATTCTCAGTATATCTTCTGGATGTCAAGAAGATATTCTCAGGATACTGTTTTTAAAGTCATTATGAGACTACGAGTGAGAATATTCTGTGAATTAAATTTTATATAAATAAAATAAAATGCGATTTGTTTTTCGAGAAAGTTGTTTACTTTGAAAAATTATTAACTAATTTTTTTCTCATTCGTGATTCATTCCTTTATTCATATGCTTAATATTGTCAGAAAATAAATTGGCTTTAAACAATATAAATTGTTCCCCGCAAATAACGAATAACTATTAATATTAATTATACATTAAGTGCATGATTATTATTTAAAAACTTTGAAAAATGCGTTTCAAATCTTCATTTAAAATAAATTAGAAGCTCATAAGATTTTTGTTTTTATTATATTATTATTCATTATATTAGCTTAACAATTTTAACCCTTAAAAATATATGTTGAGATATTAAATATCCCGTGAATATCCTAAGAATATCCCACGGACATCCTGAGGATATCCCATGGATATCCTGCGATATAATATCCAAAAGATATTTTGTGGATATATTAGGGATATTCTGTGGATATCCTATGGATGTCCTGTTGATGTCCCACAGACCGGCGGTTTGGATATCCTAGGGATATCCCAAGATATCCTGGGGAAAATTCTAGGATATCGACCATTGATATGGATATCCTAGGGATATCCTTTTGTTATGAGGGTTATATTTGATCGAATTTTCATTTCTCAGAAAATTTATTTTAAATTAAAAATAATAACAAAAATTATAAATCTTAATTAAAAAAGTCATGAAATTGTTGCTCCGTAATTTGTTAGATACTTTACATAATAAAATACTTATTAATTTTCATATTTTTTTTAATTATATATTTTTTCAGATGATAACCAATCAGAGGAAGAGGTGGAACCTCTATAAATAAATAAAAAAGCTCATCGACGAAAGCAAATAGAGGCATATGAAGGTAATTAAAAAAATTTAAGATACTTGTAGAATATAATCCAATAATGTATTATACGGATAAATATGTTGCATTTAATAATTTTTAAATTTATATTTCAGAGCTGAAGAATCTAATCAAAAGAAAAAATGATACCTTTGAGCTAATCCAGGAGACGGCGAAGGAGATTTCAGAATATAAAAAAAAATTGACCAATTATATTTGAAAAAAAAATCATGGGAGGAAGGACAGAGATTAAAAAAAAATTGCAGAATTTGAAAAAAAAATATTATAAAAAGGTCAATTTTAATCATTAAAATTTTTTTATTTATTTATTATTACAAACATTGTGGTTTGATAATAAAAGTTGGTATAGTTTTACAAATACCTGTAACTGAAAACATTTCACGAAAACTGAAATTATTATTTTTTAATTCAAATCTACAATTTTAAAATATTGAAAAAACTATAGGAGAAACCAGTATAGAAAGTAAACAGTCTAGCACTTTGTTATTTACTAAATTTATACGAAAAACAAGAACAAACATTTCTTAATTTGCTAAAACTATACGAAAAAGCAGGAGCTGTGAAAAAAAGAAGAACGTTGGAACCACCAATGGCTCTTTTCTCAGGTTTTCTCTCCTTTTCTGTTCGAGGGTAGTGAGGGTCTTTCTTAATACACACACATAACTAATACGCTTTGATTGGCTTAAAATTATTCCTAACACATCCTAAATACAATACGCATACATAAACACAGAATAACGCAACGCATATAGATATATAATTCACGCTGAAATGAGAAATTCTGAACTTCTTTATATACAAAATAGACCGATTTTTCTGCACTCGTAATAAGCTTAATATTACATTGTTAAATATTTAAAAATAAAAATAAATATTTATTAAGAAATAATATAATATTTTATTACCTTTCTAAGAGCAATTATTTAATTTAATTATAGAAGAAAAATTATAACAAATATTCTAAAATTATATTATTTAGAAAAAGAAAAATTATTTAAAACAATTATTTATCAAAACTTTTTCTAGTCTATATTGCAGAAATAAAAATTATATAAAAATTATGAGCAAACAAATAAAGTATTTCTTTATTAAATATTAATTAAAATTATTTTTAATTATTATTGCAGTATTAAAAATTATTTTTCTAACACACGCACCGAAAGTACACCATTTCTTACCTGTAAAGGGGGAGAAAAGTATGTCTTTCCTGGCGAGCGGGAGGGAAAGTTACATTCAATCCCGCTGACGTCACTGACAGGGAGGAAAAGTACTTTCCCTTCCTGTGACGTCACTAGTAGGGAGGGAATGTAACTTTCCCTCCCCGTAACGTCAATTTTTATTTCTGTTGTTTATAGAACATTAAGAAGAACAAGAACAGTATATTATTGAATTTACTGTCAATCTATCGATTCGAAATATCGAGTTTAAGTTTAATGTTGATATTTCGATATATCGAATCAAATTAAAAATCGATAATCACGTAAACTAGTGTCCACTTTCTCTGCCTGGCGTCTCTGTACGTTTTTTGTCATTCTGTCAATTTTGTTGATTAGTAATAACATAATTTAATCTCAATGTAGTCGACTTACTATAACAGTTATATTTTTCGCTAAAATTTAATAATAAAATACCGTTTTTAGAAAAATTAACATTCTTTATTTTTCATCTATGTACTTTCGGTATGTGTGTTAGAAAAAATAGTATGTGCATCTAGGGAGGAAAATGGTTGATCAAAATATTAAATATCCTTATAAGATTTCCGTAAACCATATAAATTTTTTAAAAAGAAACAACTTTTTCATATAAAATTTTTGAAAATAACCTGGTCTTTAGTATAAACAATTAGGATTTATGTAAATTTATTTAATTTTCCTGCCAACTATCGCTAATTGTTAAAATTTTGGGGGGGTCCGAAGGTTGTAATATTTTTTTTCATATCAATTGTTTAATAAGAAACAACTTTTTCATATAAAATTTTTGAAAATAACCTGGTCTTTAGTATAAACAATTAGGATTTATGTAAATTTTTTCAATTTTCCCGCCATCTATCGCTAATTGTTTAAAATTTTGGGGGGTTTCGAAGGTTGTAATATTTTTTTCATATAAATTGTTTAAAAAGAAACAAATTGTTTATTTGTTTTTTTTAATATAAAGCTGTTCTTATTAAGTAATTAATTAATTAATTAATTAATTGAAAGTTATTTCTATACACATTCTTGGTTATGCTTTATGTCTGTTTAGATATGTCAATTTTTTAATTTTTTCGTGTTATTAGCTTTTAATAATGTTGTAATAAGTATTATTTAATAAAGAAAAGTGTTTATACATATATTTATTTCATTTCGACTTGATTTTTAGTCGATCACAGTGTACGGGAGATTTCGTTCATTTGAACGTTCGTATCTTCAAGCACATGCAGTTTTCTGGTATATATTGCAAAATTGATTGGACTGAGAATGCTTCCCAGTAGAAGCCCAACTGATTGTGTTCTAGGACAATAGTTCTTCCATTAAGGAGGTTCATCCCTTCAAGCGGTACTCATTCTATTAGGGGTTTTCCGTAAGTTTAAAACCGACAGCTATAGTCCATAAAAGTTGAGCTCCACTGGCCAATTTAGAGGTTAATTTGCCGTTTCTCCTCTTCTTTCTTTTATTTACATGGGATAAGTTCAAAAGTTGCTAACTTTGATTAACATTTACTTCACAACCAAACGGTAAAAAAATTTCATATTTTTGTAAAAACTGTTAAAACTCATAATTTAAAACATATTAGTTTTTGAAAAAAATGTGTAGAACCGTTTTTTTTTAATTAATGAAAACATGGTCATTTTTCATGTTTTTTCACTGTTCCCATGTAAAACTTCAAACTTTATCAATTTTTATCTTGAAAATGATACGGTAAAATTAAATAAAATTTGAACAACACATGTAAAGTGATGTCAATAATACATCTTAAAAATTTTTTAAAAATCTGTAGAAAATCGATTTTGGGATGAACCTCCTTAATTAAAAAAAAATATTTTTACAAGCAACCGAATTGTAGATGAATTTAGATGTTTGTTGAGTTATACCAATGTCTTTCTATATGAATGTTCGGTACTACAATGAGGAAAGCTCCTCAAAGGTCAAGAAAAAGGCCAGCTGTGAGTAGTAATCCAGATGACAAATTGTTTAAATAAATTATATTAAAGTTCATTGATGCCTTTTTATTTTTGATACATGGAAAACTACCAATTAAAATTTCAGTAGTGTTGTTATCAAATAAAAACAAATTTTATTATAGTGTAAGGTCTATATTCCCCCTAACATTTTGAGAGAGTAAGGGAACGCTGTGAATTCAATAAACACGATTAATTATATTAATAGAGTCATTGTAATTACGTTCGTAGCGTTCAACACCGTCCCTGAATATCTTGACGAAAATAATCGAGATATGTCTTTTGTGTGAATTTTCTACATAATTTAATAATTAAAAATTTATTTATTTTGTGACGAACCAAATATTATTTTATATTCGTTTATTTGACTTTTATCATTATCAAGTTTCCCCGATTTCATTCTCCTTTATTATTACTAAGATAGGTTATATAATAATTGCTCATGATATTTAAATCAACGCGGGCTACCAACTAGGTGGCGCGTGCGATTATAAAACATATATATATATACGAGATATATTGTGATCGCGATACATGTTTTTTGTTAAGAGACTTTCTAATGCGAATAATAAATAAATAGTTTGTTTAATTCTACTGATTTGAATGTGTATATCAATTGTATCTTTAACCTTTCACGTTTCGTAAAATAATCAATAGCGGATCGATATACAAAGGATTGCAGCGTTCGACACTGGTAAGTTCACTCTTTTTCTGGCTGTTCTTATCTGGTCTTGAATGGCAAATCACATAGTCGCTTTGGATTGTGTTTAATCATCGAGGAAGATCCCATTCTTCTGTTGTAAGATCACATTCTAATGTGCTACCCACGTCCATATAAATTATCAAAATTGTAAATCTCGCGAAAGGGTTGTCACATTTATGGCGTCCAACGTAGGTTAGAATTTTTTTTCACACTGAACCCGTACCATAATTGTGCTTTCGACACATTTATGGCACCCAACGCATTCTTTCTATAAAAATTAATTAAATTTCTATAAAACTGTTCTTCTCTTTTTACGCGACTATTCTTGCCGGAAAATTCCACAGGTTTCCAAAATGGCGTCATGACGTGGCCTTTTCGAATTTCGCATTAATTTTAATGTTTTTTCGCAATAAATATTTGAAAATTAAATCTGTAATTTTCTAATAAAAATTAAATTTTTCTCTCGCAATTAACACAAAATAAAAGAATCGATCTTGCAACAAGCTCTCTCTGAAAATATATGAATGATCCTGCTATTCTATGAAAATAATTGCACACTCGCATCTCTCACATTTATGCTCTTTAAAATGCTTCGTAAAAAATAATACATTGTACTTGCGCTTATTATCGCATCAAATATACAATTATTTTCCTTCGCGCATTAATTTTTGTTTGTGCTTCGCTAAAAAAAAGAAATATATATAATTTTGTTTTTCTTGCTTCTGCTATGTAAAAATATTTTTCCTCCCGACTATTATATAAAAATTTCGAATAATTAATTAACATGTTAAATTACATTAACCATGAGCGGCAAAATTTTATTAATAAAAAATAAATTAAAGTGTCCACATTTCTTTTTGTCACAATAGAACGAGTCATCTACAGGCTCAATCGCGTTAATCAAAACACAGCTGTGTTTACTTTTACAACTCGACTCTGACTCTTAGTCACTTATCAATTTCAAACGAAATTATACTCCAAACAAAATTTTGATTCTTAAATTAATATTTTAATTTTATATAATTAAAAATTCATAACAATTTTTTTTCTTATCAACAAATAAAAATTTATAAAAATTAATTATCTAAATTCTAACAAATTAAAGACAAAAATTCTTTCTATTTCAAATTTTTACCGTCATTAAAATTTTTCAAAAAAAAAGACACGAAAAAATTAATTATCTGAATTATAACAAATTAAAGACAAAAATTCTTTTTATTTTAAATTTCTACCGTCATTAACATTAAAAAAATGGCCATCACAACCCACAAAGCAAAATGAC